CCTTGGTAGTATCATTCAAAAGGTGGGAGTAGCACCTATTGAAGACAAGATGAGGGAGTTGCGCCTATGGTGGTTTGGTCATGTGCGCAGAAGACCGAGTGATGCACCTGTCAGGCGGGTTGAGATGTGTGGAGAAGAGGCAGGGAAGAGAGGGAGATGAAGACTCAAACAGACGTGGGTTAGGGGAGTCCGAAGTGATATGTTTCTTCTTGGGTTGAATGAGGGTATGGCTTTGGAGAGAGCAAAGTGGAGGGCGGGCGGGTATTCGTGTGGAGGAGTGATCTCGTATTATTATTTCCCTCATCTTTTTTTCTTCTTCTTGTTTTTCATTCTTTTATCCTTATATATAAACATTATTTTTACCCTTTTTATTTTATCATTTGTAGGTATATTCATCTCTTTTTATATTATCTTTTTTATAATAGCTTATCTTTTTATCTTTATTTTCTTTCTTTTCCGTTTGATGATGATATCATGTATTGATTCATGTTGTCCAATCTCAATATCTTTTGGCACTAAGACTTGGATGTTGTTGTTGTAGTAGTATCATTCAAGATGAGATCCAAATACAAAAATGTGAATCCCCTTGGGTCGCTGCTTTAACTGTCCTTTTTACAATTCTGAAAATCAACATCATTTAATATCTGAGATTAGTTATATTTCCAATTTTGGAAAATATTGTTAATAAATGCTCATTTTGATTAATGATTAAATTGGAACGGATCACAATATTCGTTGTTTGACGCATTTTTTAAATCACAGGGTGCTAATGCGCTGAATTTCTGGTTTGGCTTCCATGGATAAAAGATGCTCCGTAATAAATAGATTAAATATAACTGTGTTTGATTACTTTGGAAAAAAATTAATAAAACGTCATTCGTTTCATTCAAATAAGAAATTATAAATCTTTAATAATTTCCAATTTAGAAAAGTATATTCATTTATAGCCTTATAGGGCCATAAAAAAACCAATTATACTTGTGTTTAAATTAAACGTTGACTGCGTGTAATATTGTCCAAGTGCAAATCAAGACTTAAAATGGTAAACAATAAAGGTACATTTATGGTTATCCAAAAGGTACTTTATATGTGAATTTATTATTTTAGAAAATTTCAGATTATAAATCATATGGAATTTTTCATCAATGAGTAAATGTGTCGATCTCTATAGTGTACATTTTTATTGTCCCTTAATCTAATAAAGAAATAAACTTATGAAGTCATTACAAGTGTACAAGAAAGCATGACATAAATAAATGCATATAAAATAGGGGTGAGATTTTGAAATCGGGGACCGTAGAATCAGTTGGATCAGAACCGAATCATTATAACTGTGTTCGGTTCCTACAAAATGAGATACTCCGTACTAGTTGTTAAATGTTCGGTTCCTAATTATTCCTAACTTTTCGATTACCGGCTCCTACAAAAAAATATGTGTACGAAACAAAATAATAACAATAATATCAACAATAATAATCACGACCACCACCACAAACAACAACAATAATAGATTAATAGTACAATCAATGATATTTAGACAACAATTCTAATTTACCCAACGAAAACAAAAGTAATCAATATTGCACATAAGGTTGAATACGTTAATTAAGCTCATTTTTCCAGATCATGTTTTGTTCCATCACATAAATTTTATAAATATAAAATAACCGAAATAACTTGTAGTTGATTGTATATTTATTTTACTTTATTGTCTTCATGATATTTTAACTATTTGATTCATTGTAAATTATGATACTAGTCTATTAGCAATTCTTATGACTTATTTATTTAATGAAAATTGAAATCTACTTTAATTCTACCAAGTGTTCACTAAGTTAAGATTGAGCTTTGATGATTGAAGTGATTAGATCTTCAAATAAAATTTTAATACTTGTGTTTTGGACTTTTTACTCCCTACGTCCCATTCTAAAGTTTTTACTTTTCTTTTTTGAATGTCTCATTTAAAAGTTATCATTTCTATTTTAAGAAACAATTAACACTCTTACATGACAATTTAATTATCAAATCTAAATTAAAAAATACGTAGTAATACATTTAACATCACAATATCATCATTATAATGGCTTCATTATATTATATACCTATCAAAATTGTTACTCAAAAGTACTTAATTTATCTAATTTAACTATTGTCTAAATAACCGATTTCATTAAATAAAATGTTTGCAATGGTTCTATTAATTTTGAGTAAGAACCGAACCAATCCCTAGTCTAAGATAAAAATCATAAAATGGTTTACTTAATCTTAGAAAAGGATATACTTCGTATATGTAAGTCTCTCAACTACCATATTGTTACCCATGGAAAGTTATATGTGGTGGAATCAATTACGATTAAATTCATCATATGTGATGATGAAGGTGAGTCTAGCGATTCAACACTTAATGTAGTGTACAAGCAAGTCTTCAAAACCTTTGTAACTTTTTTGAAGGATTCCATACAAATGAATAAATTATCAATTAAATATTTTATTATAACTTTTATAGTTATTTTTTAGCATTACATATTACATACACTCTCAAAGCAGAACATAAAATACAACCGTAGTATTTCATATTAATTTATAGTACATGTGATACAAAATCAAACTAATTACAAATTTTGAAATTAATAAATCAATTCCCGTGCAACAGAAGTGACTAGTCACTCTTAGGAGAAGATATATAAATGTCTCTCAACTATCATATCATTAATTAGATGACAAATATACTTGTCAATTATCTAAAAAAAAATTAAACATATCAAGTTCATAAAAATATGCCACTTTTCAATTAATAGAGAGGTAAATTAAATATGTTCTGTGACGCATGATATAAGAGTGTATTCATTTTCATTTTACAATTTATACATATAATTATGAAATAATTCTTAATATATAATCAAAATAAAAGTGGTGGATAAAAATGTGACTCTGATAACTTTAGTGACTATAATTGTATATAAATTTTACATCATAGTGAATATTAAACTTACGCATAGTAATTTATAATCACATTCTTGTTTATATATTTTCCATTAGTAATATTTTAGGAAAAACCTCATTATTATTCTACAAAATCAATGATAAATAATTAAATATGTTTTTCTAAAGGAGAGAATTTATTTATTAATAATGAAAGTAACAAGAAGTAAAGCAACACAATAGCTGGAGGCTACCGTGGGGGGAGACATAGAATTAATTATCCTGGAGGACTCATCATATTCGCTAACCCCGCAAACAAGTAGGCTAATCTAACAGCATTACTGAGCTTGCTACTAAAATAGAGAGTAATTAAATGAGAGTTGTTGAGTTTAATCCAACACGATATAGTAAATATATGTATAAATGTGTATGAATACTCGGTTTTTACGTGGAAATCCGAAAGAGAGAAAACCACAGGACTTTTTAGACTAATGTCCAAGCTCTCTCTTTCTCATTAGGACTCTCCTCACCATTACAAGGTACAAATGTTGATCCTCCATTAATGGAGGATAAAGCTAATCTAGGGAGAAAGAAGAAGAAAGGGATCCCTAAACATGTGGGAAAGCCCCATATTTATAGGGGAAAGAGAGTAGGGTAAAACCTACCCTAATGGGCCAAATGGGCTGAAATGGGCCCAAAGGCCGAAACAGGCCCAAAAGGCTTGGAATGGCCTCCGCCATCCGGGCTCTGAACTGGGGTAATATCTTGGACCCTCGAACAGTACTATACTGGGATAATATACCTCAATAAGAGTTATTAGAATAAAAATGATAAAATAAATCAAGTATCTTGGTTTTACTAACCACCATAGAGGGAGAAGTGGTTTGATCAGCCACCTCCAAAGAAATCAACCCGATTTTACCAATCAGGAGAGATTTGTCAAGCCACCTCCAAAGGAACCACCTTACTATCAAGGCCTAGTAGTATTGCAGGCGGTGATGATCCGGTAGCACCACTGTTAAGCCCTTTTTGTCCGATTTTCATCAACCTCCATATGAACTTGCACATCGACTTGATTCTGCTGGTCCACTGCTCTATGTTTCCTAGATTCTCCTTCTCAAGGGCTCTAGCATGGTTCTGCTCTTCCTCAGCTCCCATCTTTTTTTGTCCTTTCAAAAGAAGACCCTGAACCAAGTAACGGCTAGTCTCCGTTGCCTATTCTAAATAAGATTAAAACATGGATAAATATGATTGAAACATGGATAAATTTATAAATAGGACTACTAATGATTTATTCCCAAAACATCACTCATTCACTCCTCTTTTGGAAGTTTCAATCAAGTTATTCTTTTAGCATGACTAAATAAGTCCTTTTGGGGGGAAACATATTTAGTCCTATTTTTAATTTTTGTGTATGTTTTGGTCCTATATTGAACAATTTTTATAAAAAATATTGAGTAAAATATTTATTACAGCTAATTTAAATTCCCGTAAAATATAATTCTTCCGTATTTAAAAGACCACTACATTATATTAAGCCTTGACACAATATTTAAGTCGGAAATGGTAAGGGTAATGAATAGCGTAAAATAAAGTAGAAAAGAAGGTGAAAAAGTAGGAAAGAAAAGATAAAAAGTAAAAAAACATACCAGAAAGATAAAATATGAGAGAATTCCCTAAATAGGAGTAAAAAAGTTTTGAAATTCCAAAATAGGAGTATCATGTTTTTATTCCCTAAATAGGAGTAAATTTCTGCCAAGTTTGGAAATTATAAGGCTTTAAACATGGCATTTTTTTCCAAACTTGGCAGATTACTCCTATTTAGGGAATAAAAAACATGATACTCCTATTTTGGAATTTCAAAACGTTTTTACTCCTATTTAGGGTAATTTCTGATAAAATATAGCAAATTTTTAAATACTTCCTAAGTAGGAAAGTGTAAAAACAGTGCAAATTATTGTTAATGAAAGTCAAAGATCATTTCGAGTCAACCATAATACCATATCAAGCATATTTAACGAACGCTTCAGATCGACTTGTTTACCGGCCCCACCAAATTGAATTCAAATTTAAAGACGTTCTATAACGTTAGAAGCCTCAGGCTCTTTTCCGGACCTAAAGTTTGCCCACATCTTCGTGGAGTTAACCCGAACAATCTCATCATCGTTCAAGAAGAGAAAAAAGGATTTTACCTTCAATTGCAAAAGTAACTCCACAGAAACACTCTTCTCTCTCTGTAAATTCTAGGGTTTTGGGGTTCATTTTCCTCTGTTTTATTCAGGGAGTAAGGTATAAATGCTTTAAATTGTGCTTCGTATTTATTTTTGAATTTATTTATTTATGTTGTCGCTCTCTATCTTATAATAATGAGATTCTCGGAGGGTTTATGATCATCTGAAATTTAAATGGTGATTTTTGAAGAAGATTGAGCTTTAAATGGAAGATAAGGGGAGACATGAAATAGACTTGGCTTCAAGAAAAGCCGAAGAAGCAGGTATCACTATTAATTTCATATAACTATCTTGATTGTTTCCTCTCGTTTAAATTACTGGGATTTGTGAGTTAATTTGGGGATCCCCTTAATTCTCAGCTCTGAGGAGATTTCAAGCAATCCATTGGCTTGAATATTTAGAAGGGCCATTAAGTGTATCTAGCCAGGCATCTGAGAGAGAGTTTCTTGCTTTCTTGAGAAATGGATTGATACTCTGCAATGTGATGAACAAGGTCCAGCCCGGATCGGTTCCTAAGGTAAACCTGTCATTATAGGGTGTCAAAGTATCTTTTTATGTAGGAATACTCACTTCTTCTTATTCTTGTTTAGGTTGTAGATAATCACTTGCCTTCCTCACAATCAGTGATTTGGGATTCTCAACCGTTACCGGCTTATCAGTATTTTGAGAACATCCGTAACTTTTTAGTAGCTGTGGAAAATTTAAGATTACCCACTTTTGAGGCTTCTGTTTTTGATAAGGTAATCTTTTTCTTTTTAATTTTCGTTTTTTATTCAAACGTTTTGAATTTATATTAAATGTTTAGGATTTATTCAGGAAAATATAGAGGCAGGTTCATCAGCAAAAGTAGTAGACTGCATTTTGGCACTGAAAGCGTATGATGAATGGAAGCAAATGACAGGAGGCAATGGAGTTTATAGGCCTCCTAGATCTCCACTCACGGCTAGTTCTGTCGGGAGGATCAATGGACGGAATCCAGTTACTGTCAATCCAGACAGCCGGAGGCGTTTGGACATGTCAGATGGTTGTTCCCTGAAATCAGAAACTGGTGCCCAAAACCTTGAAAATTTGATTGTTAAGTCTTTGGCCGAACGAATGGTTGATGTGAAAGAAAACATCAATGTTGACATTTTCCATTCACATCGTAGTGACAATATGGTATGTTTTAGTTAATTTCATGTCACAATAGACTTTCTTGCATGTAACCATTATGGGGAGATATGAACACTTGTGTTCATTGAACAGAATCCCACTGAATTGTTGACAAGGATTTTGTCCTGTTGCGTTGAGGACCAACAAGTCCAGTCCAAATTTCCACAAGTATGTTGGCTTCATTCTCCATAAAATGATTACCAATTTACCATGTCATCTTGTTATATATTTTCAAATGCATATTTGGTCTCGTTTACAGCTAGAATGTAGTGATGATTTTGTCATCTGGTTTTTCCTATACATATCAATACATAGGCAGAATGGTAACTTTCATCTTTTTGTAAGTGATGATAGGAGAATGAGCAGGAAACACACCAAAATGATTAAAGCATGTTTTGAACTTTTAACCCTGCAATTCTATACCTTAGTAATTATAGTCTACCGTAGTTGATTATTGCAAAAATCCCTGATTGTACCCATTGGTTTCTGTTTTAGTCATCAGTTAATTAGGGAGGACTAAACTGCGACCAAGTGGTAAAACCAGTGGTACTTTTGCAAAGTTAATAAACAACAACATCCAAGCCTATTCCCAAAAGAGTTTGGGGCTTTGCAACGTTAATAGGGACTCAGAAAAGGATTTTACCCTTTTATTTTTGCATATACTCCCAAATTGTGCTTTTTAAAAGAAGGTTTCACAATGAACCATAATGAACCATAGGTGAGAAGAAGTAATTATTTCACCTTATAAGGAGTATTACTCTTTCATGGAAATCTTAGAAGCTTCATATATAGAGAAACAATGTGAAATAAACTCGATATTTATCCTTGATTGAGTGAGTGAATCCTATGTACTTTTTCAACATCCTTCATTTTATTTCTCCCAGGATCATTTGCAATCAGTATCATCAAACTGTTCCAATGAGACTAAAAAATCACAGGTCCCCTCAACATCTGGCCCATTTCAAAATTCAATTAGCTCTGGAGATCAAAAGGTGCGTTTTTAGCTTAAAATTATTTTGTCTGCAAGAGCCTTCCAGTATTTTTTCTGTATGCACTTCTCGTTTAAAATAAATTCAAAAAAAGATGAATACATTTCTGCTCGTTACTCCTTTTGCATTTTCATAAATTATACTACTATTGAACTTGAGATTTTTTATTGAATCTGTAGGGCTGCAGAGCTTCTTCTGTAAAAGGAAAACGTAACCAGTTGAATCGAATCACACTGCATGAAAAGGAGCTTTGGGTAAGAGTTTTTTATTTGGCTGTGAAAATTTTGAGCTTTACACCAATTACTTTATCAACTTGAAAACTTATTTTCCCTCATAAAACATGACAGCTGACTAATATTTTAAGTTCCCAGAACCTTAAGGTGTTATTATCAAATGCCAAGAGGGATCTTGAAGATCTGCAGTGTCAGTTACAAAGTGATCTGAAACTTCTCGGTATGCTTCCCTTTAAAAGAATTTTTTTTCTTCAATACAGCACTGAAGAAAAATTTCTATCAGTTCTAAAGATATAAAAATGTAATAAATTTTCTGAAACTCTTATTTGTTTTCATTTATGTATTTTTTAGGAGATCAGGTACTGGTGATGTCTACTGCTGCACTTGGATATCAAAAGGTGGTGAAAGAAAATAGGAATTTATTTAACATGGTTCAGGATCTCAAAGGTATATATCATATTGCTTCAGTTTTTTCCAAACATACTTTTTTAAACTAACTTTCCAGTGGCTCTAAAATCTGCTAATTTTTCATGTTAATAGGAAGTATTCGAGTTTACTGCAGAATTAGACCGGCTGAGGCAAAAAGTGTGATAGATTTTATTGGAGAAGATGGTTCTTTGGTGGTTGTTGATCCACTGAAACCACATAAAGACGGAAGGAAGAGGTTTCAGTTCAACCGCATATTTGGACCAACTGCTACTCAAGGTTTCTTAAAACATTTTTTAAACTTGTTCTGTAATGAAATCTAGATTAATGCCCTTTTGAAAGAAAATAATATGAATTATTTTTCTTCTTTCAGAAGAAGTTTTCACAGACACCAAGCCTCTTATTAGATCTGTGATGGATGGTTATAATGTCTGTATTTTTGCCTATGGTCAAACTGGTTCTGGGAAGACTTATACAATGGTAAGCTTCTCTCTTTGTGTTTGGTTCATGCAGCACTGCAGCAGCATTTCTGTTAGATATAATAACAAAATATACGACTAAAATGAAAAAATGGACAAATATACGACTAAAATAAAAGGAATGGACAAAATAGTGACTATGGGTCATGGCTGTATTTACGTCCGGGTAGTGACTAGTGGTATTTTTTGCAGTCACCATGTAGTCACTTTTTTGTGAATGAATTTTGTTCTGGTAATATTATAGGAAAAAATCATTCTTTTATTGTGAACAATTCCCCTGTTATAAAATGATACTCCATATTCTTTTTGTAGTCTGGGCCTTCTATTGGACCAAAAAAGGAATTTGGAATCAACCAGTTAGCACTGAATGATCTATTCCAGCTCTCATTTCAAAGGAGGGATATAATGAAATATGACATTTCGGTGCAAATGGTGGAGATATATAATGAGCAAATCCGCGATCTTCTTGCTGAAGATCTGTCAGCCACAGCAAAATATCCTTTCACTCTATTGAAAAGTTTACAAGTATGCATTTATAGATAGCAAAATATCCTTTCACTCTATTGAAAAGTTTACAAGTATGCATTTATAGACAAAAGAAATATACATTAGTTCCATTGCAGTAACTTTTGGAATCCTTAACTTGGGATTAAGTTAGAGGTTCGAACTTGCGTAATTGACAGCGGATTAGTCCTTCCGGATGCCACTCTCCTCCCAGTGAAGTCCACTTCGGATGTTCTTAATCTGATGCGGTTGGGCGAGGCCAACCGTGCTGTTTGCTCTACTGCCATGAACAACCAAAGCAGCCGCTCACACAGGTCCCTTTCAATTGTGATGATTTCATTTTTATTTTGTGGGTTACAACTGAAGGATCTGTTTGGATTCGTAGAAGTACTACTGTACTAGTGAAACATAATAGCAAAGAAAACAAAGAAGGGAGTTGAACGGAAAGAAAATGTGGGTGAGAATCAAAGATAGGCTAAACAAAACAAATTAGTCTATGACTTTTATACACATCTTATTTAATATGGAGTATATTATACAAAGACCAAGTAATCTAAATATATACGTAGTATAAATTTAAATAGAAAAAAATCATATCATAATTTCATTTGCATTTTCTTAGACTTTGGAGAGTATTATTTTGGAGAGGGCGAAGTGAACAGAGGGGTATGTGTGGAGGATTGATCTATTTTTATTTGTCTACCTTTTTTCTATTTAATGTTTTTAACTATGATATAGCATTTCAATATATGTTAGCCGACTCCAAACTCTTTTTGGGAATATGGTTTAGATGTTGTTTCTTAGTTAAAACCATACATAAGAAAACATATTTCCTTGGCAGTTTTTTACTCACTTGCAAATTTCCGTGGTCCAAACAGTACTCAGAAGGATTAACTGAATAGACATAGCCTTGTTTGTTTGGAGGTTTGAGAAGAGAGGGAAGGGTTGGAAAGAAAAAAAAAGATGGAAAGTAATGCTACACAACTTAACTAAAATATATTTTATTTCTAATCCAAAACTAACAAATAGAGATAAAAATAAATCTTCCACTACTCTTCCCACGACAACTCCCCAACAAAACAAGCCCTTGAAAATCTAAGATGCCTATAAAAATTCCATAAATAACTTGCTGCAGTGTGCTGAGTGTGCATGTGCATGGGGAAGATGAATCCGGAAACAAACTTCAGAGTTGTCTCAATTTAGTGGATCTGGCAGGCAGCGAACGGGTTGATAAGTCAGAAGTTACCGGAGACGGGCTGAAAGAAGCACAACATATCAACAAGTCTCTGTCTTGTTTGGGAGATGTTATTACGGCCTTGGCACAGAAAAGTTCTTTCGTCCCTTACAGAAACAGCAAGCTGACTTTACTGTTGCAGAGCTGTTTAGGTGGGAATGCTAAAACGCTCATGTTTGCTCACGTGAGTCCAGAAGAGGGTTATTTTGGGGAAACTTTGAGTACACTGAAGTTTGCTCAGAGGGCCTCAACTGTTGAGCTTGGTGCAGCTCGTTCAAATAAAGAAAGCAGTGAGGTTTTGGAGCTCAAAGCACAGGTATATAATGAAGATACATTTTTTATGTTAAGCTTTGTGTATAGATATACTCCATCAGTTCTCTTTTAGAGAAAAAAACTAGTTTCTTTAGCGCTATGTTGGATCCCAGGTAAAGAAATGTCAAGGAAAGTTGCTTATACTTGGTTTTTTAAATGTTTTTACATGTATTTCGATTTTGTAATCTTTATCTAATTGAAACAAATAATAATCGAGTTTGAACAGACATCTAAAATAACTTTATTGTATTTTAGGCTATATTCTATTATCTCCTGAATTTTTCCTTCAAGTTTACTTCTATATTTTTCTCCCCATTTTCTTTCCCGATTTTCCTAGTTCCAAATGGATCCTTGATCATAAACTTTGAAACAATATAGGAGTATAATATGAAAGTACCATGGTTTTGGATAAAATTAGTCTGTGTACATAAAACGTGACGCTTAAGAGCGCAAGATTAGGAAAGAAAATGCTATGGAAAGTTGTTCCTCTATCTTTGGGTCAACCTTGGAACATGCAAAGGAAAATGAAATATGTCTAATGTTTTAAATTTTTTACATCTGTTAACATGGCTTGTTATTTACTACTATATAATACTACCTCCGTCCCATTTTATGTGTCTTCTTTGGTTTTGGCACAATTTTTAAAAAAGTGGTTGAAAAGGTAAAAGTTGTGGTTGGGATTTGGTTATAGTAAAGTGAAATGTTGTGAACCACATATTTCTTTCCAAAGAGGGAAAGTGGACACTTATTTTGGGACAGCCCAAAAAGGAAAGTAAGACAGGTAAAATGGGACGGAGGGAGTATATATTACATAGTACATTTGAAAAAAGAGAATCCAAAGAAATGTCAAAAATAAAATATTGAGTTTGCGTCAATTTTTTTTATTTTCCTCAACATTTTCTTTTCATTCAAATTTTCCCCGTTCTTTCCTCCGTTTTTTCTTCGTCTAGCATTTTCTGCACTCCAAATGGACCCTAATAGAGGAGGGAGTAATGTATTAAAGAATAAAGCTAAAGAAGAGTGTTATGTTAAATGTGGCATGGGATAGGTTGAGAGCTTGAAAAAGGCATTAGCCAGCAGAGGAGGAGCTTCTTCTCAAATGGTGAAACCAAACGAAGCGGCATGCAGGACTCCTCCTAGTCAGAAACCAAAGACGGCGTTGGGGTATGAGTTAACGACTCCTCCTCCACAAACCACCACTGGCAGGCGGAGGAGGTTGAGCGTTGAAAACTGCACAGCAGCAGCCGACAAAGCAGCCACACCACTGCCGCAGCCTTCTCTTTCTGTTAATAATACTAAACCAGGCCCCAGATCACGAAGGCTGAGTCTAGAAGGCCACGTTCTTCCTCTTCCCATTTCTGCTCAAAGTGCTATGGAATCCGTTTTGAGGCGCCAAATGGAAAAAACGGGAGCAATCAGAACACCTGAACCGGTGGCAGCTCCAACGCCGACAAATGGAAAGGGTTCTCAGATAAGAAGATCGCTTCGAACCATAGGAAAGCTGATTAATGGATCTGATAAAAGGTTTTACTGTATTTGAAACCAAAACTCTCTTACTTGGGTTTTGTTTTTATTGATTTTTTTATATAATTTAATATACTATAACCTAAACTGCATGCATGCAGGAACCAAAAGGAGGAAGCAGCTAAGTCACCAGTTGCTGCTGCTGCAGTATCTAATGGAAGAACACTAAGGAGGCAATCACTAACAGGCATCTTACCACCGGAGAATTCCAGGAGATCTTCAATTGGCTGGAAATAACCCCCACCACTACTTTTTTGTTGTCTTCTTGGCAGCCAACTCACTTGCATTGTTACATAGGTATTGGGAGAAAAGTTCAAAAAACGTTAAGAGCAAAAAATAAACAAAAAAATCCTAACCTTGCAAACACTGTTTTGCAATCCTAACAGGAATCTTCTTGATTTACATGGCTGCTGAGTTTGATGGCACCTCATTTTTTTGTCATATCAATTTTGTTACTCAGGTTTCCTACTTAACGGGTACTCTGAATATTATTTGATTATATCAGCTTAATTGCTCAATAAAAAATTAATGGCCTATTTACTTTTCTCTTACCCCACCCTTGTAGTTGTCTAGTTCCGTTTTCTGACTTTCTCCATCAGTTTTCAAATCTGCTAAAAGCATTATCACACCTGAATGGTTTGAGCAACAGTACGTTGACCCACATCGCGTGATGAGGGCATTGGTGACAATCTCATTTTAGGATCAATTGGAAGGAACTTGAAGTCAAAAAGAAAGAATCTCATACAACTCAGAGGTTAAAGCTCAACAATAAGAGGATGGAAATCTTCAAAGATGAGAAATGGATTGATACTGATCCTATTGAAATCTCAGACATATACTCCATACTAAGCAATCATAATGCACATATACCAATCAATAGCAGAAAGTTTATCCGTCGCAGTTTATCTATTTCAGTGGGATATTCAAGTGTTCAACATGAAAAGAAGAGAAGCTAAGAAGTTCGACATTTAAGTAGGAGGCTAGGAGCAGTTTTCAGACCAGTTGTTAAGTCTACTTGAAAAGGATTAAAATGGAAACGGGAAAGATGCTAACTTAGTTTTTGCCTATTCTGGAGGAATTTGAACCAGTTTGGACCAGCTCTAGTTCCCGTCCAAAACCAGGACCATAATTACGGGATTTACGGGAAAGTTGTTTGGTTCTTTACACACCCGGTTTTGGACCAGTTCCGGAAGTGGGGATCTGCCCGCAGCTAGATTAGAGACGGCTTACATTACATTGAACAATCAAGTTGACATGCTTTGTTAAATAAATTGAACAAGCTTAAAATTTGGCGCCCAATTTGGCGCCCATTTTAGATTGAACAAGCTTAAAGCATTTAGGTATCGACTTGCATTTACAAATTACAATTCACAAACAAACCAGTATAGTGAGTTCTCTATCATGTTTTCTCTACATATAGAATGTGTTTTACGATTCTACAAGCTATCAAGGTTCTATGTGAACAAAGCAATAAGCATTTTAAAAAGAAAATTACACACTTTCTCCTCAAAATACCAATAAATAAATTATTACTCTAATTCACACGCACATATTCTTATTGTTTTAAAATGTTTGGGTGTATACATGAACACCCTTGCATTGAAGAGATCCGCCCCTGATCGCTACATGTCAATGATCATTGTGTTTAATAAAAAGAAATACGGTAATAATGAAATAAAGGAAGAACACGAGAAATCAAGAAAAATGAGCAATAGTCCCAAAAATTAGAAAAATACTATTGGATGTACAATATGGTTTGTAAAGCGGGTGGACAGATTGCTACTTCTATCAACATGTACCGAAGAGGCAAGCAATTAGCAAATAAATGGTGCTCGGTAAACAGATTCAGAACTTGAGAGTGGTATTCGCCTTAATGAGAGTTTATGGATTTTTGGCTCTATAATGGATGATGTACACAAAAATAGCACATCAACGATGTTCACAAAATATTTACAGCAAAGTTAGGAACAATATAAGAGTTGATATGAACGTATGCCACAATTATACCCCAAAATGTTACCGACTTCCCTTTCTGGATCGTCTATTTTTCACAGCAATAGTGTAATAATAGGCACGGAGAAGACTCTTCTGAAACCTTCTCAGGTTCAACCTGACATTTTGGCGATCAAGGTACACCTCTTTGGTAAATTCCCATCCTTTCACATTCACGCTATTTGAATCCGTAAGTACAGGGTCTTTCTTGTCATATTCATCATACAAAGTGCTTTCATCTGGTAGGATTTTGTAGCCAATGTAGCTCAATCCCATCTTCTTTACTGGTGCACCAAAGTAAGTTTCTGCTGCCCAATCTGTTCCCAATGGAATAATTTGGATAAAGACTGATCCCCTTGCAGGCCTCATGAAGAGGAAATGAGTCATCGCAGCACCATGGACTCCAACCATAACGTCACTTGAATTAAGAACTCTATAAATCCTCGCTAGCTCTAAGGTCTTATTAGGTATCAAAATTTCCACTTGGAAACCGATTTCCTCAGCCAATCTCACCAATGAGTCTTCATTAAGTATTTCTCTGGACCCGTTCCTGGCCATTATAACAAGTTTTGGTACGTCAAAGTTTTTTTCCTCCTTTGCTGAGGGAGAATGATTTTCCATTTCTTCTTGAATAAGACCACGGATTCTTGGCAAATAAGCTTGGTCAAGAAGCTCCCTAAAATCACTCATGCTCTTGTTAGCTTTCATCAACAAAGGATCAATGGTGAGCTCATCATGGATTCTTAACCCAACTATTGCTTCAGGGAAACAGTGGATCCGGTTATCTCGAAAATCCACAGGAGGGTAGTCGGAGAGATGGGGAAGAATGTCATTGTACTTGGAAATCCACCAGTTGTGATATTCAAGAATGACAAAAACGACCTTACGGTTGAAATGTTGAGAAGTGATGTATAAGGGCAAAATCCCATCATTGAATTCATGGTATGCATTCCCAGTGTAGCCTCCGGTCGAGAATACGACAGCCGGGGCATTGTGCTGGACATCACATTGATGGCGGGTGGCGTCACCCTTTTTCTTCACGACGAGATGTAGTTCATCAATGGTGTCCATGATACTTGTTTCCCATTTTCTAGTATAAGGCTTGATCTTTTCGAGTGGGATAACTTGAGTTTTGGGATCATAGTTTCTGAGGAGCACAACTGAAGATGAAGAAGGGTGTGTTCTTACATCCCCTTTCATGACACACACATCAGACCTGGAGCCGCTTCTATCACAGCAAATAGTTCCTTTTGAAAAGATAAAATCAATTCTCATTATTCATAGCTTAATAGCTTACTTCTGCACATTCAAGCAAATAAACTTCATTCCTAGGCAAACTTCAGTCATAGAAAAGTTAAGATTTTTCCAATTTTCTAACAGAGATATTTTCCAATTATCTTTTCTGTTTTCCAATCACCAATTTTCTGTTTTTATTTTCCAGTTTTTTGTTACCCAATTTTCATTTTTCATTTTCCAAATTTCCTTTTTCAAATCTGAAAACATGTTCACCAGGTTCTAGCACCGGTCCATTTAGAATTTCTTCAAAGTGAGGCCTATTATTCACTAAGCAAATCATTCATTTAGAATTTATACAGAAGGCCTTTTCCATAATATTACTAAATTAAATTCAAAAGGGAAAGTTCCCGAAATGGGACTAAAAAAGTTTGAAAATTCCAAAATAGGACTGTCATGTTTTTATTCCCAAAATAGGACTAATTACTGCCAAATTTGGAAAATACTGCCATGTTTGAAGTCTTGTACTGTCAAAACATGACAGTAATTAGTCCTATTTCGGGAATCAAAACATGGAAGTCCTATTTTGGAATTTCCAAACTTTTTTAGTCTCATTTTGGGTAATATCTCTACCTGAAAAGATACGGTGAAAATAGAAATCAGGCAACTCCAGTGAAGAAACGAAGAGAAAAAACTAAAAAATCAAGAAAATTGGTACAAATTGAAGGAAATGACTAAACTGACCATTGGAGATTGAGGAGCAAACAGAAGGATGCCCTTCACCTTTAAATCCAAATGAATCTGCATCCATAAATTTCCATTAAATCAAGAAGAAAAAGGATAATTTTACAATATAAATGAAGTGGAGAGATTTCGGAGTTGAACTCACGCAAGACATTGAAAATAATTATGCAAGAAAAGAGGGAGAGAAAGAGGATAATCAAAAGATTGGGTTTTGCTCTCTTGCTACGAGATTCCTCATCTTCGTCGCCGTCAACCAACCCCGTGCCGCCGCCGCCCCCTTTCTTCACCAGCAGATGGTTTCTATCGTAGCGACCCATTTTGTATAGAGATGGATTGCTTGTATGGATTGAAAAGCCGAGAGCTGTTGTGTGTGTTTCTCTCTATTGCGAAATGGGTTCGTGCAGTTTTGCTTCAGAGATCGGAGAGGCGGCGGAGAGAAAAGGAAGTGACATGAGTTCATTGATGACACGACTCGTTTTCGCGTACCACTCTTAATTAATGAGGACAAATCCCGGGTGGGACCGCTGTCTCCGATTTTCTTCACCAGGACTAATGTCGGTAAAATAATACCACCTCCGTCACGCAGAATAATAAGTAAAAACTATATGGTTCAGGTTTGTATAGAGGATAGAGAAATAACAAAAACCACAAAATAAATGATTAAAAGGGGAAAGTGACAAAGCATTTTGGGACGTCCCAAAAAGGAAAGATGACAAAGTTTTAAGGAACGGAGTGAGTACTCTCCCTAGGCTCAGGCCCGAATTTGTGTAGGCTTGGGCTCGAGCGGGAAATATATTGTATTGGTTTGAGTTTGAGCTCGGCTCGAACGAGCTTAAAAAATCCAGAAAAGAGCTCGACTCGCAAGTATTGAGATGGCTCGATTCGGCTCGATTAAGCTCGATTGGCTCGATAATTTTGGTTCGTCAAATCAAATGTTACAAGTTTGATTAGTTGACACTACTACATTTTCGAGTCTAATGTAACATTAAAATTGTAACACTTATTAAAACTGTTACCTAAAAATAGTCTATTGTAATAGTATTGAAGGTATCGTTACATTAGCTCTGAAATTGTTACATTAAGTTTGTTCATAATGTAACACTTTTATTATGACACATATAGTGTTACATTCTTTTAATAAGTGTTACATATAGCTGATTAAAAGGTAACACTTTAGTAAATTAATTTGGGTCGTACTGATCTCCCGGGCGCCAAATGAAATTAAAGTTTCCGCCAAAAAGCAAACTCTTGGCCAAATGAAATGAAATTAAAGTTTCCTCCCAACTAAAGTAAACCCCTGCACCAAAGGAAATTAGTGCTCCGTAGTGAACAAAACCTAAAACTCCAGGTTTGAGGCTTCGTATTGAACAAATGGAATTACTGCTCCAAGCGCCGAATTAGGTTTGAGGCTTCTCTCATCGATCGTGATTTTCACCGGTAGGAAAAGTATTTCTCTTTTGCTTTCTTCTCCGTTCGAGGCACATCCGACTCTCTCGCTCTGGCCAGACAGGTTCACATCTTCTCCCAATCTTCTTTACTTCTTAAACCCTAATTCCTCTTCTCTAAGATAGCAATAATGAAGTTTACAAGTGTAGCTTTCTTATTTTTGTTAGTAATGCATAGAAACTGTTTATTGAGATGTATGACAACACTTGGCTTGATAATATATATGTATATCTCCCACCACCTCCTTGTCGTCATTCACTTTGTTTTCTCTATGTGCTGGACTGTTGGGTAATGGATGACATTTGATTATACGTTTGGTCTTGTTTTAAAATAAAACTCTTGAATTATTTATATGTGAATTACTTATGTGCATGTGTGATGCACAGAAACTGTTTGATAAAATGCTTAAGTTAGTTTTCTTAAGATTTGTATGCATTTGCCTTATGGTGAAGAAATATTTGTGTTCTATACTTGCTAGTGAAACTTTTACCAATTCAAATACTTGAGGCTCGAGTACAACCATGAGTGCACATTGGATAAAGTTGCTCTTGTGTAATAGCTTATAAGTAGTTCGAAATTAGATGGTAAATCGTACTGGAGATTTTTTTAATCATATCTATTGGTCTATCATTGTGGATTTTTGCTAGGAGTAAGGACATGCCACATTGCCAACTGCTAGCACATCGGTATAGAACTTTCTCAAAAATAGACGTGAAGTGGTTATGTAAGTTGGAGGACTTGTTAAAACTGAAATACTTGGGTAGTAAACAAAATGAGTAATCCAGTGGAAATAAAAAAACGTAAAACAGGGGTAACTTTTTCATGTTTGGTAAAAAATGACCATCTATTTCATATTTAGTTTGATTACCTTCTCCGCGCGTGTTAGTGGCTTTAGCAAGACTAAAGTACGTTTCATTTGTTAGAATAGCAAGGTAACCTTTTTATTTCACCAAAACAGTAATAAGATTGTTAATTTCATTTGGACCAACCCTCTATCATTGTTAATATCTATTCAATATATCATCCATGAATGAATTGAAAAGAATGCCTTGTTAATATCTATTCAATATGTTCCATGAATGAAAAGAATGCCTTAAAACATTATATGTCCCTCCTTCACCTTTTTTTTGTGCGGCTGGGGGGGGGGGGGGGGGGGGTAGGACTGTGTTGTTGATCCGTTTTGGGGTTCCTATTTCTTTTTCTTCTTTTGAAATTGGTATATGTTATTATTCTGGCATTACCCCAGAGATCAACATTTGCAGTTTAAATAAAAAGGTAATAATATCATTACAAAGCTTATGGTTGCTTTAAATAATGTTTTCTAGCAAAAATAAGACTGATTTGAGTAATTTAACATTACCACTACATTACTCTACTTTATCATAAACTGAATTATATTTGCACACTATTTTTTTCTCCGGCTCCCATTTGTTAGTAAAAAATTAAAAGTTAAACTTACTTTTTAATATTAAAAAAGTCCTTTGTAAACAAATACTTATTTTTAACTGCTGTGTTTATTTTTAGATTCAATTGTGGGTACCTGCAATTTCTAATGAGTTTTGTTATATAGTGCTAATTTCTCAGTTTTTTAGTTGGATGAGAACTTTGATTTTCCTAATTGGTTCAGCCTAAACTTTTTAAGCATTTAGAATAATTCACAGTATTAGACATTCTATATTACATAACTATGTAATGGATATATTAACCAAGATTGTTTTCATTGAATTTTTCACTTTAATATTGTTTTAAACTTTGATAAAATGTTTTAACGAATTTCTAGATTGCATAGTTTACTTTAATTTGGCTTCCCTCATTCAATCATTCATGATCCTGGCGCCAACCTGCGCAATTCTTTCATTTTCTTTCATTTAGATTGTAAATTTGTATTGAAAAATTACTACACTCTTTATTACTTTTCTCCCATCTAATCAAATTATGGAGTTGGACAGTAAGTAGCTTTATAATTGTGTTTCTTACCTTTAGAATATTTTTTTAAAATACACAATTCTGTAGTCTTTTAGTTTAGTTTCTTGCAAATGTTTTATTGAATTAAATGCTTTCGTGTAAGAATTGCAAGTTTATAATTTTATTAACTTTAGGTCATGGATAAAGGAAAAAATAAGTGGTGGAATTTTCCTAAATGGGCTGATGAGTTTGAAAGTGGAGTCGATGACTATCTTGAGAAAGTATTCGCAACTGAAGCACAAGGAGATCAAATTCGTTGCCCATGTAGCAAATGCTTGTACCGTTATTGGCTGCATAGGAATGTTGTTAGAGATCACGTGATCTGCAAGGGTTTTGTTCCTAGGCCAGAGAAAGACTTTCCATCAATGAACAACATAGAAAGCTCAACATTTGATTATAATTCTGGTTCACGTTTTAATGATGATATAGATGGTCTATTGGAAGATACGTTTAGGCTTGGACCAAATGAAGAGACACAGAAATTTTATAAGCTTGTAACAGAAGGTCAAGAAGAGCTATATCCGGGCTGCAAGAACTTTTCACAACTTTCGTTCACCATTCGTTTGTTTCTTTTCAAATGTGATCATAAGTTAAGTAATGCTGCATTTTCTGACTTGTTAGAGCTTATTAGGGATATGCAACCTGAAGCCAGGTTGCCTGCGTCTTTTCACCAGGCAAAGAACGTTCTTAACTCATTGGGCCTTGATTATACTAAGATTGATGCATGTCCTAATGATTGCATGTTGTACTGGGAAGAGTTCAAAGATGCAACAAGCTGTCATGTATGTAACACTCCAAGGTGGAAATCAAACAATAATAAGAATGAAAGTAACATAAAGTGCCCTCGAATTCCCGAAAAAATTTTGAGGTACTTCCCTATCAAGAAGAGGTTGCAAAGACTATTTATGTGTTCAGAGACTGCTAATTACATGGCGTGGCATGCAAATGGGCGGCCTATTGATGGATTGTTAAGGCATCCGGCTGACGGCGAGGCTTGGAAGGATTTTGATTTGTTGTATCCAGGTTTTTCTAAAGATCCTCGCAATGTGAGGTTAGGGTTAGCGGCTGATGGATTTAATCCATTTAATAATATGAGTATTTCTCATAGTACATGGCCAGTTATACTGATAAACTACAATCTGCCACCTTGGATGTTTATGAAGCCAGAGTTTTTCATGCTAGCATTGATTATTCCAGGTCCTTTTTCCCCTGGAAAAGAGATTGATGTATACATGCAACCGTTAGTTAAATATTTGAAAGAGCTATGGGAATCTGGGCTACAAACTTACGATGCATCAACCAATCAAATGTTTAATATGCATGCAGCTTTGCACTCCACCATTAGCGATTTTCCAGCTTATGCAATGTTGTCTGGGTGGAGTACACAAGGGAAGATGGCCTGTCCATGTTGTCATTATGAAACTTGCGCAACAAGCTTGCCATATAGTGGAAAGATTTGCTATATGGATCACCGTAGGTTTCTGGATAAGGATCACAGTTGGCGATTTAATAGGAGACAATTTCATGGGAAGGCAGAGAGTAGAAGTGCACCCGTTCGATTGACGGGGGCTGAAATTGTCCAATTATTGTGTAATTTTAAGAATGACTTTGGTAAGAAGAAGAAAAAGAAGAAGAAGAAGACCGGACAAGATCAAAACCCATGGAGAAAGTTCTCCTCACTTTTTGATTTGCCTTACTGGCAAAGTAATAAATATCGCCATAACCTCGATGTCATGCACATAGAGAAAAATGTGTTTGATAATGTTGTTAATACATTATTAAACATACCCGGAAAGACAAAAGACCATATGAAAGCACGTGAAGATTTGGTAGAACTCGGTATTATGCCAGAGCTTCAACCTAAGGAATCTGATGATGGAAAAATAGAGATTCCAAAAGCTCTTTTTACCATGACTACTGACGAGAAGCAGAAATTCTGTCTAGTTATGAAAAATGCTAAATTACCTAAGGGTTATGCATCTAATATTAAGCGATGCGTGCTGGCTGGAGACATGAAAATTTCTGGCTACAAAAGTCATGATGCACATATCATGATGCACTACTTACTCCCAATTGCTGTGCGAACAACTCTGAATAAGGATGTGGCATCTCCCTTAATTAGATTGTGTTACTTTTTTAAATCTTTATGGTCTAAAGTGATAGACCCTAATGATCTTGACCATTTACAGCGTGATATTTCTGAGACTTTGTGCGAGTTTGAAAAGATCTTTCCACCTGCGTTCTTTGACGTAATGGTTCACTTACCAATTCACTTGGTAGAAGAAATTAGATTTGGTGGTCCAGTTGCTTCAAGATGCATGTATGCCATTGAAAGATATCTTCGGAAGTTGAAAGCACACGTAAAGAACAAAGCTCGGCCAGAGGGATCGATGGCAGAAGGTTTCTTAACTCATGAATGTGTAACATTCTGCTCAAGATACTTGAATCGTGCAGCCAAGCAACACACAAATAAGGAAAATAATGTTCCTGAACTGCGTGCCATGTTTCCTAGGATTGGTTATCCTGTAAGAGGCAAAGGCAGAACAAAGAAGAAGAAGGTTTCTGGTTTTAGGATTGACCTTGATACATGGAATCAAGTTCAACGCTATATCTTATTCAATTGTGATAGTGAAGAGATTGATAAATACATCAAGTAAGGGACTATTTAATTTTTTTACCATTCCATTTTTTAATAAAATATTTTCACACTTCTATTAAGATAGGACCAACACTGATAATTACACTTTTTACATCACAGTGAACATAAAGCATCTCTTACCACCCGGAATAAAAGAAAATGGAATGCCTTTCACAACCACAACAAGGATTTCATCTCATGGTTCAAACAGAAAGTTGACAACGAGATTCAGCAAGGTCATCAAGTACATGAGCACATAAAAATCTTAGCTGCAGGTCCTTCACACATAGCTAGAAGATATTCTGGGTATGCAGTCAATGGCTACATATTTCACACTAAGGAGCGAGATGCAAATTGTGTGACAGACAACAGTGGAGTCACATTAACAGCGTTGACTCCTAGCTTTGCTAGTAGTAAGGATAAAAATCCTGTGCTAGGAGATGTTACCTATTATGGCTCAGTACAAGAAATAATTGAGATCAATTACAATGATAAGTTTAGTTTTGTTTTGTTTAGATGTGTTTGGTTTTATACAGAAAGAGATGACTACGGGCTTACTCGGGTTAATCAATCAAAGTTCATTTCGAAAGAAGAACCATTCATTTTGGCATCCCAAGCACATCAAGCATTTTATGTAGAAGACCCTACCAAGAAGGATTGGTATTTTGCACTTGAAAATTTACCTAAAGATGAAGTGTATGGAAGCAATGAAATTGGTGAAAGCTACTGGAAGAAGCCGATTCATTTGCTAAAAGATCTGAATGTTACTTAAAGTGATAGTCATGTGAGAGTTTATGTGGATGATTCTACTTATATGGTGGAGGGCTAAGACTCTAAGAGGGTTAAGACATATCATTTCATCCAAAGACAATTTACTTTTAATATAAATTTTCTTTCTATATGTGTGTCAATCAAAATTTGAAATTGCAATTTATTTAAATTAGCTTGTTGATTGTTTTTGGCCAGTAATATGATAGTGTGTTTTCAAATAAATACACACATCCTTGAATATTGTTTGCTGTTTGACTGTTTCAGGTATTGCTTTAGTGAAGTATGATTGTTTTATGCATGTGAGTTTATGTTGTGTGAGCTACTTAATATGCTTTTGCACCTGCTTTATAAATGTTATATCAATGTATGGTGTAGACCTTCTTTAAGCTACATGTGCAGATGGGGAAAAAGAGAGACAACTCTCAGATTCATGGACTTGGAGAACTTACGGAATATGAAAAACAGAGATTAAAGAAGTTGGATTTAAATAAAGAAAGGATGCGTGCAGCGGGGTTTACCACTCTAGCAAATAAGGGAATCACTCTATCAAACCAGAAAGCGACTACAAAACGAATTACATGTGCACCTTATGGACTAGTAGACGAAGAGTACATGCCAAGTGATGATGAGAATGATGAATGTGACCATCCAAAGGTCAGTTAATTTCTTGCTAATTATCCTATATATGTAGTGTGCAATATATATATATATAAGCAAACCTAGACCTGGAATGGAAGCTTTTGCTTGACTAGATACTGGTTGATCTTGGGCCTGAGGACGGGCCTTAGCTGGTCCAAAATCAGGCCCTTTTTTCTCTAATGCAGTGGGTTGCTAACACCCTTTGGTTGTGACTGCTACATGACCAGAAAGAGGGCCTTAAGTGGCTTTCAACTTGGACCTGCACAACTGACTTATGTTGTCTACTGGTTCTATTTGTGTGTAATATATATATGTGTGTGTGTGTGTGTGTTATTTTCATAGGTTTCAAAGAAGGGAAAGGACCGAAATAACAATGAAGGGAAGAAATCATCTGGCCCATCAAAGACTAGTGAAGATTCTGTGAAGGTGTATTCAGAGACAGAGCTGGTAGGGGTTTTGGGAGAACACAAAAGACATAAAAAACTGACTGCATTTCAGCCTCAGAAAGGTAAAGAAAAAGGGAGTTACAATCAAGGTACAAGCCAACAGTGTAAACAGTTTGTTTCAAATAAGAAGGCACAACATATCCCACCTGGATCCATGGCCATGTACTGTAACATGAGGAAAAGGCAAGAGATATTAAAGAAGAAGAATAACCCAGTATTTCTGTTAGAAAATGAAGATTCCTCCAGTGAGCAAGAAAGTGAAGATATTCATGAAAATTACTTCATTGGTGGTGAGGAGCAAGTAAGTGCATCATCAACGAGGAAAGTTAGAAACTCTCGAATGCCTTTATCTACTGAAGATCATGATGATGAAACAGACTCCTTGAAAAATTCAATGGATATACAAAATGAGGTGCCGATTGAAAAAGAAACTTCTGGTACAACCACTTCAAAGAAAGGTAACTATGCATTTTATTTTTTCTTTGATCTATGTATCGGTTTAATATATTAATGTTGTTTTAAACATCAGCAGTTGCTGGAGAAAAGAAGACTAGAGGACCAACGGTTATGGCAGAAGTGCATAATCGTAAGATTGAAGAACGGCCAATAATTATTTTAAATGAAGCAGGCCAACCGATCGGGCCTACTCCTGATCTTGTTCGTGAATTTAGTCGCTTCTTAGGTACGGTGGCTAGAGATTCAGAACTCACACCCTTAAATTATGTCACATGGCATAAGGTACCACAACATAAATTAGACAACATCTGGGATTACGTCATGGTACGTTGAATTCACACTTATGCAGTTTATCAGTTTTTATTTAAGATGTCGTGTGCAAACTTTACTATAACTTTCTCTATATTAAACATGTGAAGGAGAAGTATATGGTTCCAACAGAAGGAAAGAAATGGGTTTTTTCTACCATTAATGATTTGTGGCGTGTTCATAAATCAAGAATGAAGAAAGCCCATTATTATGCATACACAACTGATGCAGAAAGGTGGAAAAATCGCCCAAAAACTCTTCCCGAGAATATATTCAAAGAGCTAGTGAACTACTGGAATGTTGATGAGGTTGAGGTATTTATACACTTCATTTTAGACTAACAGATTTACCGTAGTTCTAATATAAACCATATTGCAGATTATTATAAGGCGTTTTTATTAAATATGTAGGAGGCAAGCGACATCAATAGAAACAATCGCATGCAGTATGATGACCCACACACTTTGGGCCCCACATCATTCGCATTATTGCGTCATGTATTGGTAATGTTATTTAGGTTTACTCGTTTATTTTAAATTCAGGTTATTGAAGAGTATATTTATTCACTTTAGATATGATATTTTATATATGTTTATAGCAACAAGATGATCCCAACAATCAAGACCCATCTCAAGCAATAGTGTATAAGGAATCAAGGATGAGAACTCCTGGGAATCAGTACTTGACAAAATACGACAAGGCTTCTGAAAATATTGTGAGTTAATAATGATAGTATCAATTTAAATTAACATTTCCTTTCTTTTACCTTATAGCTCATAATTATTTTTACATGCTTATTTATGTAAAAATAGAAAAAAATGGATGAGTTACAATCTCAACAAGAATGTGGAGAAAAGGAAACTAAAGAAGATCCTTACTATCTTGTGGTTGATAAACCTGAATTGAGTGGGCGTTTACGCCTTCGTGGTCGAGGTATGAACAAATCTAAATTGAAGAAAGGTGATAGGAGTGCAAAGTCAAGCTACACACTTCCAGAAGAGTTCTTGCAATGTGTCACAGCACAATTGGAACCAAATATCAAAGCAAATGTGAGACAAGAAGTTGCACAAGATGTGGCATCCATGGTACTATCCCAAATAAAGGCAGCTAATCCAGGGATAAACCTTACCATTCCAGAATTTTGCATTTCAGCGAGAGACAAATCAACACATGAACCAGATGGGTCAAATGGGAAATCTAATGTGAGTATAAATACTTTGTCATAGTCTGGTACATATATCTCTGTAATTCTGCTTGTCTTGTTGAATAGTTTTGTGTAGTTGCTTTTAGTTGAGGTTTAAAAGTGATTATGTTTGATGTTGTATTATTGTTGAGAAAAAGGGTCAAATAGAGCCTTTTACTATACTCAAACCATCATTTTGTGTCGTGTACTTAAATAAGTATCATTTACACCTGTCTACATGTAAAACACGTCATTTAAAACCAATGACGTGATGATGACTGGATTTAGCAAGTTCTTTTGTAATGCGGATGCAGGGGTTCTTCATGGGGTGGAATGGGTTCTTCCTGGGGTGGAATGGGAAAGGACAAAACAAAACAAAAAAAAAAACGAAAAAGAAAACTGAAAAATACTAAAAAGCCACATAAGCAAAGAAGCTCCAAAAATCAAGTCACCATCCGGTTAATAGACTTAAATGACAGTTTTTTACATGTACACGGACTTAAATGACACTTATTTAAGTACATGAGTATAAGTGATGGTTTGGACATAGTAAGAGGGTTTATTTGACCCTTTTCTTCGTATTGTTTAATAGTTTGTGTTGTTGCTTCTTAATTATTGTCTTTATCCTTTTTATACAATTTGAATTATAATTATGCCTAAGATGTTAACTTGCAAAGTGATCTTTTGCATGCCTAAGAGTGAAACAAAATAGCATAATTATTATAGTATGACATTACTTTTGTTTCAGTGCATACTTTTGATATTAGTATGAATTTCAATGAGGTATTTAATTGTGCAATCTTTATGAAATGTGGAAATAATATTTGTTGGCTAAGAGATTATTTTGTCTTTAGTTTGAATAAATGCTACAAATAGATAAAGAATGGTTTAGGTTAATGTAAAACATAGTGTGAAACATATGAGTTTCTCAATGTACACATATGGTGCTGCAAACCAAGGGCAATTGTTTTTTTAGGGAAACCAGGGGCAATTGCTTGGATTTGCCTGCTACTCTTGTTTGCCTTCTATTCTTGTTTGCGAGAACAATCATTATTCTTTTTTTAAATGGCTAAATAATGAATCAATTTACCCTTATGTGCATTATACAGCTCGAAGAACCAGCTCTACTTTGTTTTATGTCGTAGCATATTTACTTATATTATGAAAACCATATATGCAGCAAGTATTGATAAGGAAATAGAGCTCATTATTTATGTTCACATTATTTGGACTCTTATTATTATTTTTATGAAGATGTGAAGTTTGCAAAAAAAATGTGTGAAATAGGTGAGTTAACTATTTCAATTGTTTATTTTACAGGGAAGTGATGAATTTGATGATGAGGATGAACTACAACAACCTGAATGATGCAGCTTGATAATGCACAAGCCTTCTTGTTGGAAACTTGGAATCTGAATGATGTAGCTTGATTGCAGTTGACTAATTGGTGGATTATTATTGTAGTTTTTTGTCTTTGGATTGAACTGCACTGTAGTTTGATGGATTCTGTATTTCGATCATGTGTTTGTCAGTAGAATGTACTTTTAATTAAAAATGACATTATGGAATTCTGTGTTTATGGCTTTGCATAATATAAAGAAGATTTATAAATAATTATGTTTGCTTTAGTACATGTTTGCTTGAGTACGTATATATGAGTGTACGTACGTATGTGTATATATATATATATATATGAAAAATGTATATATACGTATATATACACATGTGTTACAATATGTGATATGATCTGCCCACAAAAAAGTGTTACATTTTCCCTCTTTAGTGTCACATTTGTTCAAATAAAAAAACTGTTACAATTGCACTTAGTTGTAACGGTTTAATTAATATTGTAACACCTGCTAAGAGTACAAAAAAGTGTTACAATTGGTTTTGTAATTGTTACATAGCGTTACATTAGAGCTAAGGTAACGCAAGCGTAGGTAACGATGAAAACTGTTACATTTAATATAATGGTAACAGACTTTTGGACCTACTGTAACACATTTGGGCGTTGCAAAAAGCCTTTAAATGTAGTAGTGTGAAAGTTCGGGTTCAAACTCGAGCTCAAGTATGAAACAATATTTGAATATTTGTGCTTAAACTGAAATTAGAGTTACAGGAACAAAAAATAAACAATATAATCCTAACTCCAAGTCTCCACCAAGTTGTACTTCTAATGTAAATCAAAAGTGGTCAAATCATGAAGGAATAGTAGATGAAACTTTGATTGTTTTTGTTAAATTACTTTATACTACGTAATTAATAATATCTCCCCGATCATATATATTATATATACCAATATATACGATAGTACAGAAAAGATCAGGTCCCTCCGGAGGGACGGGAGGTGCCGTCCGGACTAGGCCATCAGAGGCCCTTCCCGGTGGAATTTTTTGATGAAATTTTTTGAGCATGTTCCTCATCAAATCTAGTTTATCCATACCAAATTTCAGCTACAAATTCAACCGGGAAGGCACTCAAATGATTTTTGGAAGATAACTGCGTTTTATATGTATATAAACTGCGCAGTTAACTTCCAAAAATCATTTGACTGCCTTCCCGATTGAATTTTTAGCTGAAATTTGGTATCAATAAACTAGACTTCATGAATAACATGCTCAAAAATTTTTAGCAAAAAATTCCACCGGGAAGGGCCCCAAATGGCGACGGCCGGACGGCGGGTCCTGTCCCTCCGGCTGGACAGGATCAGGCCTCTACGATAGTATTATATATTAATTTATATTGTATGATAATACATTATATATATTAATATAAATATACAAACATTTAAAACCGGGCTCGCGACCCGACTCACGAGCTAGCAAGCCTTAAATCAGTAGGTTTGTTTATGGCTCGACTACTTAACAAGCCGACTCGAGCTCGGCTCGTTTCGAGCTTTGATTGAGCGGCTCATGAGTAGCTCACGAGCGGCTCGGCTCATTTGCACCCCTACCCTGCGCATGGTACAGTTAGCGTGTTTGTTCTGTTACACACTAGTTTGTCGCTAACGCGAATCTCTTCTTCTCCAGCTCATTGACAGTCGTATCTCTTCTTCTCTATTTTTTTTTTTTGATAATATGTAAGTATATTAGAGACCGAAAAATAGCATTTTTTACAATGCATCAATCCAAATCAAAATGACTATCTAAGCTAGAAAAATCTAACCTAGATATAATGCATCAAAATAATGGGACAATCCCCACTTCACAAATCAATAATTAAAGAAATTAGGTTTCCCTAATTTAACAACCAAGGAAACATCGGAAAGGTTGAGTGAACTTTGAATCAAAGCGAACCTCCCCTTTCTTCTTTGTAACGCCCGGTAAGCTCTCAAGACATTCAATGGTAAAAGTGAGACCCTTTCTATCCAAATCATCCGTAAGTCGAAGGAAAGTGTCCACTCGAATCACATTAGCATGCACGGATTTAAACGGTTTGACAAACAACTTGAGTGTCTTGCCGTTTATCACCTCACATTTTATAACAACATCATCTAGCCTCACATCCTTTTTATCCATGATTATCCTCTCGCCATCATCTAACTCTTGTTTCTCGTTGCTTCGCTCGCTATTAGGATCATTTCGCTTGCCACTCGGATCTCTGCAGTTGAGACTCGTCAACCTCCGGATCGGAACTGCTATGATGGAGCTCTCAACTGAGGTTGTGGGTGGATTTTGCGACCGACACCGACACACGGGATATCAGCACTGATTTGGCTCCTTTTTCTCCTTTTCTTATGCAAATTTGGTAAGTTTGGTCGCTTGTTTGCCACATGTTGCAACCAACGTAACATCTATACGAGGTTTTTACTGATATTAGTGGTCACTTCTTACGAGATTTTACAGTTTACCACAGGTTGCGTGGATATCAACATAATGCTCATTTAATAATTTATGTATGCTCATATAACATTGATGTAACACTCATTTTAAAATGTCATATTCATATATGTTTCAAAAGTATAATATTACATTAAATTCACATGTCGGATTCATACGGGTTCGATGTTGATATTTTAAAATTAGAAAAAGTAAATGAATTATAAAATATGAAGTTGATATCATGATCTTCATTATTAGACTCTCGATACTCAGTAGAATAGATCTAATGCTCACTAAGAGTACATTAATATTCATTTAACGGGAGACATGATTTTCACTTAAATTACGAAAATGCCAGCGGCTATACGGTATACGATATATGCTTTTGGTGATGTCCACCCCTCCCCTTCCTCACATTACAATTTTTTTATAATTTTTTGTTTATGATCTAATTTTTATAATATCATACCCCGTATCAAGTTAAACAATTTTTTAAGATCTTTGAAATGGTACCAATTACACGTATTAAACATTAAAAAAATGCATATTTTTCTAGTCAATCTTTTTGAAATTTATGTGTGCAATATTGTACCATATTTGAAAGATTATGTAAAACTATATGTTTAATATATTTTTTGTAAAAAATAAATAAAAAGATATAATAATTGCAAAAAAAAATAATGGTCATGCACTCATGCCGTGTGATGGAGGATAGTCGGTGAGCATTGGCATCTTTCAAGGGATCAATTTGTACTAACAAAAAATATCATTCACCGTTTGCATGCAAGGCCTTGTTTGGTTCAAAGGTGGGGAGGGGAGAGTCAGGGAGGGAAGGGAAGGAAGGATTTTGATAAAAATTTGTGTTTGGTTGGAGGAAATAGGAGGAAAGGTTTAATGAATATATTTTTTCAATTTACCTTTATTTGATAGTTTACTTAAAAAGAAATAGATACATCTCTAACTATTGTAAATATTACTCCTAAGGTCATGAGGCATAATTTTTTTTTATTGTTTACTTTTTAAATTTTAGAATTTTTTATTTTTTATTTTTCATTTTTTATTTTTTATTTTAGAATTTTTCTTTTTTTTTGAAATTTTTAATTTTTGATTTTTTTATTTTGTTTTTTTTTTACTTTTTAATTTTTTAATTTTTTAATTTTTTAATTTTTTAATTTTTTAATTTTTTAATTTTTTAATTTTTTAATTTTTTAATTTTTTAATTTTTTTTTTATCCCGAAAATTAAAGCACCTGAGTAGGTGTGATAAATGTCGGGGAACATTTATCAGTTTTATTAAAATTGGAGAGGTTTTACATGAAAAGAAGATAAAAACAATACAAGGAAAAAACTAATGGAAGAATAACTATATTAAAAATCTAATTAGCCCATATGTTATCCCTCAAGGCCCAAAGAGATGAAACCACTATCGTCCAAAGCTTCAGAATAAACAAACACCTGCGAGGAACATAATTTGTCCAAAAACGGAATGTTCCCCAACCCTAGCTTTCCATTTTCACAAGCTTGCGAGAGGCATACGATGTAAGATTCAGCCGGCATCCCTGAAGTTGTAGCCTCCGTGCATGTCATCCCAATACGCCAATCTTGCTTTATGTGGGAGATTGTAGAGATCATAATCTTGAAGGTGTTCATTGTGAAGACCTGATTCTGCCAGGAACTGCGCGCAGTAGTTTGCTTGTCGGGGTCGGAAGATTAGAGTGAGGTTGTGGCTCTGTTTCTGAAGAGTGATACTTCGGATTAAAGGTTTAAGATTCGTTTGAAACGTTTTGTTTTTCCTGATGATATATAAAGCTAATTCGCAATCTGATTTTACTTGAAACGATCTATAACCTTGTTGTGTCACGTAGGAGATAGATAGTTTGTGATTATCAAGACGTTTCCTCCGAAATACCCCGATTTGGGGGGTTTAGAATGGGAGGAAGTGGAGGATTTTGGAAGCCTTCCACTTTCCTCCCATTCCCCCCTATTTCCTTCAACCAAACACACACAAATCCCTCACTTCCCTCTCCTCCCCTCCGAAACCCTCCAATCAAACAAGGCCTAAATCAACACCCCACCCCCACCCCCACCCCCGGATAATTTTGGCATCTAAATCTCTTTTAAAATAAAACCGACCCTCCCTAGCCGGGTTGACCGGACGGAAAACAGTTCGGTTAATTACAAACCTGGAAATGGTCAAAAACCGGAAAAAATCCGGCCGTCCCGGTAAAATTCAATTCAAACTCGAACCCGAAAAATCCGAAAACCCCGGAAAAAACCGGTTTTGGTTGTTTTTCTTTTTTTTTAACCAAAAAAATTGCAATAAAATTTAACCAATAAAATTGCAATTTCAATACCCTAAATAGACGAAAATATACAATATGCTTATATACTACTTATTTGTTTGAGAATAAAAATCATGTCAAATTATACTCCACATAATAAATGTCCAATAAAAATAACAAATATGGAGTATCATTATTTTCTTCTTCTTTCTAGTAAGTAAATAACTTTGTGCTGTGGTTCATGTCTTTTGTTTCTTAAGGTTAGCTATTGCACCAAGTGGGAGAATGTAACATTATTTTAAATTTATCAATAATAATGTCTCATAAGTGGTGCAATAATAGCAAATAATTTGTAACGGTTTCCATTACATGAGCCACCTTGATGGTAGGTGACTATATAAGTGCTACATGGTCCTCTCACTCCTCCAAGAATACGCATGCAAAGCTCCATAGCTCAATAGGCTCAAAGCAATATACACCATCTAGATAGTGAGGTGATAGCCGTTATATT